TTAAACTTAGGATACATTTTAACAAAGACAATTATATTTAAAAGTCAATGATAAACACATAATAGTGCACCACTACCACGGTTTGTAAATATGCTTTGTTTGTGAGCAATTAAATTATCTTTTTAATATTGTGTTTTATTTTTGAACCCACGACATCCAGATTAAGAACCTAATGTACGTTAGACCACAGCAGCAAAACTTTCAGGTACCATAATTTATCGATAAAATATATTAATTTATTCCCATCACTAGCATATTTACAAGTAGTGACAACCTGCATAATAACGAAACGAAACAATACACATATCTCTTTCTTATACACTATCAATACCATAAGTAAAAAAAAGATGAATATATGGAGTGTAGTTGTTATTTTAGCCTGGCTTCCATGCTTTAGTTATTGTTCCGAGGCGAGTACCCAATTTCGGTATTGGACGAAGGAGTTCGCATTAGCACAAAGGTGAGCAAAAATACGATAGGCTCCATTGTGTTACAAACCTAATTGAATCTACACTTTGGAACGAGCAAATAGCTTCACTAGAGGACTGACTGACAGACTGACACTGTTTTATTTTACTTTAGACAGTTCCCGGGGACTTACTCTTGAATCCAATTCCTTTCAATCGACATTGGTATTGTGAAATTTCGTACTCTCGAGTTGCAACACTAGCGCCCATTGCATCCATATTGCGTGGATATTGAATGAACTAAATGGTATTGATTTTGGCTTTATATTCCGTACTCTGAATGTTATTCTAACAGCTACGATTGTGGTTGTATAGTGTTGACATTGAATAATTATTGAGATTTTATTGAATTGAAATTGCATTGACATTGAGATTGGTTTCAAGAGTAAGCCCCTAGTCTATTTGAAATTATTGATTGTGACTTCGGAGCGCTTCTGCTCAGTCTCTATCGAATGTATAGTCCTTTAGTCGGGTATACCGTATACGACACCCGCAAAAAGAGTTGGTGACATTATGTATCTACTATGCCATGCCATAGAACTGTAATTTATGGGTAAATAATATGTATGTATGTATGTTAAAAAAGCATTTTTTTTTGTATTATTTGTCAAGCAATTTTGACTGTTATGCGCTTAAAGTTAAGGATGACATTTGTATTATCAATTGTTTTGTGTTTCTTTTTTTGTTGATTAGTTTATTCTATAGAAGTTATATTAATAGATGTATTATATTTTTTATAATAACTATCGTAAGACATACTAAATTAAATAAAAATCGCGGGTCACGTGAATATATTGAGGAAAGCTCTACTAGTTTCGAGCCACAGAGGGGCTCTTCCTCATGAGTAGCGGACGCGGCGCTGTCCTGTTGCTACAAATTATTTGTATTGCACAATATTTAAGTACCTACGACATGAAATAGAATAATAGCCTTTATGAATTCGGGCGATCGACTCACCCCCTATTACATTGGACTCATAACATTACTGGTTGCGTATGCGTTGCGTTTACACTCTGTATTTTATGGACCTCGAAAATGTATTTTATTTTTCTTTGTTTTGTGCTATCAATGGTTCTTCTTTAGTTAAATATAGTTTTTAGATATAGATTAGTACTGTATTATAATTTTAATTTAGTTGTACATAGCTTTTTTACCTAAAATCGTGGATGCGGGCCGCTTTTAATCTCGCGATGTGTAGTCTATAGTAGGGGAGCCCATGAAGGGATTTCGGTAGTTACTCGAGCGCGTCAGATTAACATATGGGGAAAACCTAGTGTCATGTTGAATATACCCAACATATATCCGATCAGCAGCTGTAGCCAAATGCCACTTAGCGCTTGTCTACATGTAGAATAGAAAACCAAATTATATGGAATTGACGTAAATTTTGACACTTGTCAGTGTCATCCCCATACATTTTGATTTCTACTCTCTCTGTAGACAAGCGCTAAAGTGGCGTTTGGCTAGAGGCCCTGATTAGAAGGGGGGACTGAAAATTAAAAAAAAAAGTCTGACTAAATAAAGTCAGTTTCGTCAGATTAAGGGATGGTAGTTCATTTTCGTTTTAAAGGAAGTGCGTTTAAAAAATCTGCCCATTCCAACTTGATTTGCAAGAGTGGGGGGATTTTGAAGGGTTCTCGTTTGTACTCTCCAGAACATTCAACCCCACCATGCAAACTGGCAGATTAAGAGTTTTTTTATTATTAAATACACATGGAGCATGTACATTATCAATATCTGACACGCTCGACCATTAGAACAAAAGTTACGCTTAACAATTTCAAATATCTGTAGATTCCCCCTTCCCCCACTGGTGGAAGAAATTGTCACTAAACCATTTCTTCTTTCTATCAGCATATCTTCAAAATCCAGTAGGTCCCAAGGACGCTCAAGTAAATCCCAATTTAGTATCGTGGGCTCCCCTACTACTATGGCAGACTTTGGGAGGCAAGGGACAGTGACTGATTACATATAGATAATCTTCTATATAATATATATATAAAAATGAAACCCGTTTTCCGTTGTTGCGCCATAACTTAAGAACGGCTAGACCGATATGGCTGATTTTTTTTTTTTGCTGTATTTGTTATCATCAGGAGAAGGTTCTTATGAGAGAGTCCTGAAAATCCTACGGGAACGGGAGAAACGGGATTGCGCGTACGAAGTCGCGGGCAGAAGGTAGTTGCAAAATAAAACTAGATACATGGGTTTAAAGAATTTATTTCTCATAAGAACAGATACATTGTTCACTTAAAATGAGATACAAAGGTTCCTTATCTTCTATGATACATATGACAAAATCCTCTAGTGCGGTAAGTTACATTCATTTTAGTTTAACGAGACGTACAATGTTTGTACATGTTCCTTAAGTTTCGTTTTGAATGCCTTAATGTTATCGCAGTTTTTTATGTCATCTGGTAATCTATTAAACAGCTGTGCTCCCTCAAACAAAAGCGTATGCGATACATAATGTATTCATATTTATTTTGGATATCAATGTCTGTTAAAATACGTTGTTACATTGTACAGTGGCATTAACCTGTGAAGTGTTGGAACACAGATCTATGCGATACATATTTTTGTATATAATTTTTTATTATGTCTCATATATCTACAGACAAGAGGTTAAGTGCCGTAATGTGCGCCCCTGCCTGTCCCTAGGGGATAAAAGGCGCGAGGTTTTTATGTCTGCTAAAATATTGTTTAAAAATTTTGTGAAAATGTTTGTTACTATCTCAAGAACGGCTTGAAGGATTTTGATGAAATTTATCATAAGTAATGGACAGTTCGTTAGCCAGGTTACAGTCAGTTTCAATAACCTATCTAACTGTTGATTTGCTTACGAGGTAAAGAATATAGACTTTAGCTCATTGCAAAATGTATCGATAGATATCTTACTCAAAAAAAAACATCGGTTTTGCATCCTCTAATTTACATTGCAATGTATGGAGTTTCTTGCTCGTTCTTCTTCATAGGAATTGGAACACCTTGGAATTTCGGAGTCGCGGAGAACCTAACGGGTAACCGGGGCTCTGGCTCGACGTGCAGGAGAAGGAACGGGGTGGTTTTTAGTCAGTAAGAGTCTGACACAACCTCCCGCCTCACCCAGGCGGGAGCAGTCATTCGATGATTTTCCCCCCTTAAAAAATACACCTTGGAATGAGCAAGTAGTTTCACTAAATTTTTTGTTGACGTTCAACAGTGCCTTCCTGGTCTAATTGAAATAAATGATTTTGACTGTGTATGTATGTGAAGTGGGATCTTGATATCTTCAACCGATTGTACTGAAATTATGTATACACGTTTAGTCTGCATGACCATACATGCTAAAATGCACAAAGGCTTGATTTTAAAGTTTTTTTTTTCGTCGTAAGCAAATCTATAGATAGCTTATTGAAACTAGACCTTAAGGTATATGGATTAGGGTTAATATGCCTTTGACATAAGATTAATACTGTATAATATTACTTAAGTTAGTGCGTGTAAATACATAGAATTTGTTATTTAGTTAAGTTTTGCATATAAAAATATGTTGAGATATCAGAAATATGTTTTATTACCTGCTGTCCCTGTTTTTAAGTATCACGTATATTTAAGTGTGGGAGAGCCATGCTTCGGACGAATGGGCCGGCTCGACTGGAGTGATACCACGGCCGAGCAAAAGACTGACGTGACAACGCTTGCGTCGTGTGAGTAAACTTACCGGAGGCCCAACTGCCCGTCCCCCTCCCCTTCCCAATCCTTGAATCACCCACAATCCTCAAATTCTTAATCCCAAAAGGCGGATAACGCACCTGGCTGGCAATGGGCGGCGTCGATTGCTTACCATCAGGTGATCTGTTTGCTAGTTTGCCTCCTATTCCATAAAAAAGCTGGTGATTGAAAAATTCGTCCTTAACGTTCAATGGTGTCGCGGAGAACCTAACGGGTAACCGGGGCTCCGGCTCGACGTGCAGAAGAAGGAACGGGCCGCGGAAGGGAGTGTCAGACTCTTACTGACTAAAAACCACCCCGTTCCTTCTCCTGCACGTCGAGTCGGAGCCCCGGTTACCCGTTAGGTTCTCCGCGCACTAGACTTAGACTAAATTCTTTATTTGACGAAGATCGAGAGTGCCACATTACCGCCATCTAGTGCGCGAAAATATAATAACCCCCTATTCCTGGGGCTAAAGAAATTCTGGTAATTTTATTGTTCGGTTCTCAAAACCGATACATATAGTAGTATGAAATCTGGATCTTTGCCCATTTATCAAATGTGTAAAAACATAACTGATAATAGCGAATCTGCACTTCTCTGCCTTTTCAGAGAATAAAAAACGTAGATAACACGTTCCGTTACTGGTTTCCTGGCACACATTTTGTATGGAGCTTGTGTTAGCAAAATTCTATCTTACTAAAAGTCAAAAGCTGTGAAAGTATTACAGATATTAACTGCATTAATTTGAATCACACTAAATTAAATGTTTTGTCTTTACAAAACATAAATAAAAAATGTTAACTGAAACGAAACGTATTGTGAACAATCTGTAATGTCAATGTTCAAAATTCAAACGAATGTCAAAATTGCCAACAGCAACGGTTATTCGCGTGTTGTTATTTTCGTTTTGATAAATGAAAACTCAAATAAATGTGAAGTATTATAATTAACATTAATAGATGTGACTAGAAAAGTGTTTTATTTAACATTATCTTAAGTTAAAGAGAAGAATAAACGAGCAAAATGCAGGGCGTCTCCAAAAACAGTAAGTTGTTGTTTACTTATTAAACTATGATATAAACTTAAGGAAATCAAAGTATTCTTTTACTTTTCATTGATATATTTCTAGGTAATTGTACATACTATTGATAAACAGTTTTGTTTTGACATTTTTTATCGAAACGAAGTAAGTTTTATGTTAGATTCTACTGTTTATTGTTTTGGTACGAAATATTTTACAACCAGTCTGAATTTTCATCTAATATAGATTATTTTCAATTTAAATAGCGTATAATATAACATCTCAAATCTGTCTGTTCATTAATTAAACATTGGATTAAATATTTGTAAATAATTGAATAATCGTTAGTTTTCATGCAAATATCATTACAGTCAATAGAAACAGACAGACTCTAAAACATACACGACTATAATAAGTACGAACAAAGCATTAGTAAATGAATTTATTGATAAAGTATTTTCTAGTTCTTTAACTCGTCGAGTACCGTCATTATAGACACAATTATAGAACACTAGGTTGCGGTCACCGGTGACCGCTTGGTGTTTGACAGTTTAATTATATTATCTTTTCATAGCATAACATAATATGACGCGTTTTATTCCCGAAGGGGTAGGCAGAGGTGCACATTACGGCACATAATGCCACTGTACAATGTAACACCCACTTTTCGCTACATATTTATGTTATGAGTCCCATGTAATAGGGGGTGAGCCTATTGCCATATACCGGTCACATTTCCAGACTCCATGCTCCTACTGAGATTTTTAAAAACCCTATAATACTTTGCCCGACCCAGGAATCAAACCCGAGACCCTTTGCCCGATATTCAATACTAGCAACCACTCCGCCAATCTTTTCACAGTAGATACTTAAACTGTCAAACACCATGCGGTCACCGGTGACCGCAACCTATTGTTCTATAATTGTGTCTATAATGACGGTACTCGACGAGTTAATTACAAAATACCAACTTACAACAATAACCAATATTCAATAAACCATATTAAAACTCTTTTTGCCATTCACAGAGCTATCAGAACTCCAAATGATTATAACTCGGATGCCGCTAGAAGTGTTCTGTGTAACCGCACTCCCTGAGTTTGGTGTCCGATGGAAGGAACTATCCAAAGCTGTGCGCAATGCACGGTTACCGATGCAGCCGGCCAGTGTAGCCAGGGTGCTGTGCAGACATGTGTCCAAGGCATTAACAATTGATGAAATTGAAGATATTGTTGCGAGGTTGCGGTTGAAATGTGAGTATTATATTATTATGTAGCATCTGCCACGCTGCGCCCTCCTAAGTAGTCATGGGTGGATTATTAATAACTAGCGACCCGCCCCGGCTTCGCACGGGTGCAATATGCATGTATTATACATATAAACCTTCCTTAAGAATATATTTTTTTTATTAACGCTTTATGCACAAAGCGTACACAAGGTGGACTTAATGCCGCAGGCATTTTCTCCCAGTCTGACCTTTGGGTGATGCAGAGAAGAGTGAATGGTAGGAGCAAGAAGCAAGCGACGATTTAATTGAGAAAATTGAAGATTATACTAACATATTTCAGCAAAAAGAATCTCTCTATCTATTAAAAAATCGCATCAAATCGGCGTCACCCATGGATATCCGAAAAACCAGAGGCGTTACAAGTGCGTTACCGGCCTTTTGGGAATTAGGAATTTGAGGATTGTGGGGGATTCGGGGATTGGGCAGACTGGGGAAGGGGATAATTGGGCCTCCGGTAACTTCACTCGTACGACGAAACAACGCAAGCGTTGTTTCAAGTCGGTTTTATTTGAGGTCGTGGTATCACTCCGGTCGAGCCGGCCCATTCGTGCCGAAGCATGGCACTCCCACACTTGAATTTAGTATGTCTCACGATAGTTATTATAAAAAAAAACATATGCATCTGTTATTGTCGCGGAGAACCTAACGGGTAACCGGGGCTCCGACTCGACGTGCAGGAACGGGGTGGTTTTTTAGTCAGTAAGAGTCTGACACTCCCTCCCGCCTCACCCAGGCGGGAGCAGTCATTCGATGATTTTCCCCCCTTAAAAAAAAAATGCATCTGTTATTATTACTTCTATAGAATAACTAATCAACAAAAAAAGTTAAATAAAAACGCAAAATAATTGATAATACAAATGTCATCCTTAACTTTTAACACATAACAGTCAAAATTGACCTAAAAGATAATTTTAACACTTATAAAAATTAAGTAAAAACGCGGGTTACTCACGTGAATATACTGAGAAAAGCTCTACTAGTTTCGAACCACAGAGGGGTTAACAGCTCAGTGAGCTGCGCGACGTCGCCGCGACCGCGCAAGCTGCTCATGAGGAAGAACCCCTCTGTGGTTCGAAACTAGTAGAGCTTTTCTCAGTATATTCACGTGAGTAACCCGCGTTTTTACTTGATTTAGTATGTCTCACGATAGTTATTATAAAAACACTTATAAAAATTGTTTTCCCAGTGGTAGCCACCCAGCCTCGCATGTGGCACGTGATAAGACTCTGGGAGAAGACCACGGAGGAACCAGTCACCGTCACCATGAGAGCAGTCCCCGGCAGGATCACACAGGCGTTGAGAAAGAGCAAGAAGACCATGAGGCCGGAGGTCAGTTGGATAGCTATAGTTTTATGATGCCTAATAACAATCATAATGTCACACTTTTTAATCTTCTTAGAGGAAGGCAGTGATGTATAATGTAGCACACATAACATAACATCACGCATTTTAACCCCGAAGCGGTAGGCATAGGTACACATTACGGCACTTAATGCCACTGTACAATGTAAACTTTCACGCACTATTTATGTTATGAGTCCCATGTAATAAGGGGTAAGCCTATTGCCATATACCGGGCACAATTCCAGACTCCGTGCTATTATTGATAATTTTTTAAAAAAACCTTAATTACAGTAAAACGGGGTGAATAGATACATAAGAGGGGTGAATAAATGTTGGGAAAATATCCTAACATTTATTCACCCCATTCCTGTATCTATTCACCCCGTTTTACGGTGCTACTTTTATACCTACAATTATAAACAAACCTCCTTCCATCAACAGGTACAAACAGTCCTCTTAGGTGACATGCTGTACCTCAGCATACAACTTGTCTCTGAACACAGGTCGGGCTCCGCCCTCTACGTGGCGACGCCCCCCGGGGAGCCCGTGGCTTTGGTCTCTAGCGTCAACACGGTTGGACTGATCAAGGCGACTGTCGAAGGTTAGTATAATTAATGTATTTTTGATTTAAACGAGCAGACGGATCACCTGATGGTAAGCGATCAGCGCCGCTCATGAACACCTGGAACACTAGAGGAGGACAATCCAATTTTGACGTCGCTAAAGTGCGTAATTAAGGATTAATGAATGTCGTGGTAGCCCGAAGGTTTAAGACGCCCGCATCTCATGCATGAAGATGCGCGTTCGAAACCTACCAACGACAAGTACCAATGTGACTTTTTCTGAGTTATATGTACTTTGTAAGATTGTCTAGACACCACTGACAAACGGTGTAGGAAAACATCGTGAGGACACCTGGGCTTATAATTTCTAATTATAAGTTTGACATCGCCAATCCCTATTGAGCAAGCGTGGTGATTAATGCTCAAACTCCACGGAGAAAAAGCCTTTGGTCAGCAGCGGACACTTATATATGAAAATATTGAAGTAAATACTTTGACTCTGAGATTCTCTCACACGACGGGCCAGAACGCTTCATTCATTACTACTTAAATTATGTATGTGACGAATCTACGGCGTATCCTGAGCGCTACTGCCCGGTTTCTGTCCAATGGGTAATGTATAGTCACTAAATCAGGGCGGCCATTACCCGCGGGAAGAGAAGGGGCGGTGTCAATTATATTTTATTTTACCGTCAGCATACAACTTCATACACCAACTTAATCCCCGATTATAAAAATACACAATGTTTGTTCATACAAAAGTAGTGTCTAAACATCGGAAATAAGGTCTATAATAGAGTTAGTGGAGAGCGGGCACCGGTGACTGCTTGGGGACTGGGCAGTTAATAAACTTACGAGAACGTATAATTCAGGAGACCCCTTGCCCGGCAGTCGCACTTGCGACCACTCGGCCAACGAGGCAGACTGTTATTTGAACATAACACTATAATGTTAAAAATTGAACTCTTTTTCTTGCAGGACTGGGCTACAAATCTTACGAAATCGCAGACCTCCACGGCCGCGATATACAATCCCTCCTCCGCATAAATGACCGTGCCTGGAATGCGAACGCCGACCACCTAGCAGAGATCCCCGAATACGCCCCTACCCCAGTAATCACCGACACTGGCATAGACTATACATACAAAGCGTATGACGAGAACTACGTGGAAAATATCCTCGGACCTAATCCGCCTAAAATAACGGATTTAACGATAAAGACTTCTAAATCTTTCTTCGATAGAAGTCGTTTGGACAAGAATATTAATATGACTATTCAAATCAAGACTGAAGACTTGGCGAAATCCTTGAAATCTTGGGTCTCGAAAGGCGCCATAGCTCCGACGTCGGACTTGATTAAGATTTTTCATGAACTTAAATCGAATAAGATTAGTTATACTAGGGACGATGATTGAGTTGTCTTTATGTTGTCTGCATTGTAGGCAACGTTGTTTTTTTTTAGAAAAAAGGAAAATGTGTTTTTATTTCGTTTGCGGAAATACATACTTCAATAACAACTGGCAAAATATTTAGTTTTAACTCGTGTCGCATCTCATTTTTTTATAGAATACTAGCTTTTACCCGCGCCTTCGCTCGCGTCACAAAAGGATAAAAAGTAGCTTATGCAACATATACCAATACACACAGCGCCATCTATACCAATGATTTCGTTTTTCCTCGAGAATATCAAATTTTTCCGGGATAAAAAGTACCCTATTATTTAATCCAGACTTCCAACTTTATGTCTGCAAAAATTCAAAGCAATCGGTTTAGTAGCTTCACGGCGTGAAAGCGGAACAAACAATTTTTTTAAACAGTAACGAATGGAGTTTTTTGCTCGTTCTTCTCCATTCGAATCTACATTTTGGAATGAGCACCTAGCTTCACCTAGCTTCACTGACGGACTGACTGACAGACTATTATTTATTTTGTATTTGTTGACATTTCAAAAGTACCAAACTATGGTTTAATTGAAATAAATGCTTTGACTTTGACTGCACGCTGCAAATTCATGCCTTCAGCAGAATAAAAACTAAATATTTTCCCAGTTGTTAGCATTCGTTTGTATTTGTTATCTTACCTTTAATTTTAGATTATATAAATACATACTAATATTAATATTTCTTTTAAGATGTAAATACAATATTAAAATAAATACACTATTGTGACATACTCATTGTTGAAATAAAAGAATTCATTGATTAATCTGTACCTATACAGATCTACGCGATGTGTTTTCTGTTGTGTATCAAGGACGTAGAAAAAAAGGCGGAAGTAATGTCACTTAGATATGATTGAAGCACCAAAAGGTCAGTAGTACATTCATGTGCGCGTGTACTTGCGATACCGTAAAGGCGTGGGCCCACTGCGGTGCACGGAGAGGCTACGCACGTGTATTAAGCTTCGCTTTGGAAGAAAATGTAAGTGGTTGTGTCCACTGCAACCCACGGAGAGGCTACGCATGAATTGACGTCATTGACACATGCGTGGCTTGCTCGAATAGGCGGTTCCATAGCTTAACGCTGTCGACGTGGGTCTACATTTCCACTGGAGTACACGAATATGACCGTCGACTATATACAGCTCACTTATCGCAGTGCAGTTTTCATTCATACACCTTGTGGAACAGACGCATTTCATGTTTCTCGTATATATCGTATCTCTCACCTCTTGTTTCACCTCCCCACACCTCCCGCAGTGAAGCCCGTGTCTGTGGATTGCAGTGGCACGTGCGTAGCCTCTCCGTACTCCGTGCCACGCTATACATAGTCGTGGGTCATATTCGTGTACTCCGGTGGAAACGTAGACTCACGTTGTCAAACAAATTAATACACGCAGCTAAAATGCGCCGCGTGCCCGTGCACAGCATGCGCTGCGGTGGGCCCGCGCCTTAATGTACGGAGTGTAAGGCCGGCCCCAACGTTCGTACACACGGCTACACATCGAGCTTTACATAGCCAGTATAAACTGAACGTTAAACGTGCGGAAAGATGATGCGACGCGACACCAGGATAAACTGGTTTTGTATAGATTGATGTGTGGCCGTGTGTACCAACATTGGACTATAAATTCGGTGAGATGTTCGCACAAACGTTGGCAAATTAACTAGTTGTGTCCCGTCAGGGCCAATGTTAAGATGTCCGATACAGAAATCGAAACTGCTCTGACCTCTGAGCGCGAGTCACTAATTTTCTTTCAGTATTAGCTGTGTGCAAAGCGAGTAGTGGCGGACAGATAACGACCGCAGCGCACAACACGGCAGAAATTGGAAACAAATGCGGATGATGCAAACCCGGTTTTTATTATTATATTCATTTTACAGTAAAACTATTGAATAAACTGCACTTAAATAATGTCAACAATACTAGGTATTTTAATCTTTGGTTTTATTTATATTTGCAAAATTATAATGTTTACATTGTTATTATTTGACAGCTTCCGCAAATGTAAACGCTACGCGTCGCCACCGTCGTGCACATAGCCAATAGGCGATAATGTGCTCATGAATGATTCTTGCTTTGATTATAAATCTTCAATTGAGAAAACATTCCCATATTCTGCTGAACGGTGCGCCATGCATTAGCTAATATTATTTTATATTTATGATTCTTTCGAGTTGCGTCCCATATTATCACTTAGATGTGCTTGATAAAATACAATTAATTCGATAACTTTTTCAATTGTCCATGCCGGTGACGATTTTATCAATGAGGAAGCCATTCTCGCTCGACGTACGCACTCGGTTTGAGCAAAGCGCCAACGCGTGTGGACAGATCTCAAGGGTTGGCGCGACCTACACGAGCCGGCCAAAAACCAGTGCGCGCTAATTCCAGGGTGCTTACTCTTGAAACCAATCTCAATGTCAATGCAATTTCAATCCAATAAAATCTCAATAATTATTCAATGTTAACACTATACAACCACAATCGTAGCTGTTAAAATAGCATTCAGAGTACGTAATATAAAGCCAAACTCAATACCATTTAGTTCATTCAATATCCACGCAATGCGGATGCAATGGGCGCTAGTGTTGCAATTCAAGAGTACGAAATTTCACAATGTCAATATCGATCGATCGGAATTGGATTCAAGGGTAAGCCCACAGATCCACACGTTGGACGAGTAACGTTGGGACTAACGTGTGGAGCCGGCGTAATAACGAGCCATGTCACGCGACAGATGTCCGTCGTGTCAAAGTGTGTGTATTCTGCGTGTAAGTGTATAGTAGCCAGGTGACACAGTCGTTGTTACAAGAGACTATGTCCGTCTTTTTTTCGACGTCCTTGGTGTCTTGTATTTAAGCGGTTAAATTGTGTTTTACGATAATTAAAACAATGATATGTTAGAACATCACGAGTTTTATTTTCCAAAGAGATAACAGAGGTCTGACTACGATCACTGCAAATCACTTGATCATCTGAATTCCTTCGGTAGGTCTGCGCAAATCGAACTCGTCATTTGTGCAGCCACTCCGCCGAACATACAGTGAAACTTTACTATAGAAGCACCAAATAAACATGGTTTTAGTCGATTAGAAAGACAGAAATTATGTTATGAGTCCCGTGTAATAGGGGGTGAGCCTATTGCCATGTACCGGGCACAATATCATACTGTGATACGACTGAGAATTTTTAAAAATCCCTGTAATATTTTGCCCGACCCGAGAATTGAACCCGAGACCCCTTGCCGCCGTCGCATTTGCGACTACTCGGCTAACGAGGCAGTACTAATAATACAGGGTGACTTGTAACTCGACGTATTCCTCTCGGGAGGCGATAATACAAGTAATTTCCTACAAATTAATTGTACCTATTAGCCCTGAGGTCCCTAGTCCAAAAGGGGCTAGTTCCTGAGATATTCAACATTTTCATTGATGAAAAAATCCCGCCATACTACAAAATCATCAATAAATAAAAAACTACTGGGTTGATTTAAGTGATTTTAGCTATCATTTATTGACAGTAGGTACATCAATAAACATTTATTAAGAAGTACAAATACTTGCTTTTAGAAATATTCTTCGTTTTAAAATAGCAACTAAATTAGTACCTATCAAATTTTGTTTTGTGTCACCAATTTGGTCAATAGAAAACAAGACTATTTTAAAAAAAATGGTATTACACTAAGCGTAGGTACAAACTATTAGGAAAACATCCTTGGTTTATTAGCTACCTAAAAATATTAAATTAATTATAAAATTCTCAAAAATAAATAACTTGATGAAGTAGAGAGTAAAGGAAAACGCAATTTAAAAAATATCATTATTTACTCAATTTTGTTCAAAGTGACCTTCCCTGAAATTAGTCATAGTATCACCTCCCGAGAGGAATATGTCGAGTTACAAGTCACGCTGTATAATAACTTATCAAATAAAACGTTCCCACACTACGATTTACTTGAGCTATGAGTGGGTTTACAATCACATATACATGACACCCAGACAATGTAGGTCACACGGAATATAGAATACCTGTAGGTCATACCATGACAATGAAAGAGGTGAATGAACTATAGTATCTAATTTTTTTTTTCAGTGTATTGTAGTTACAATTGAATATGTATTGAGTAGTGTAATTGGTTTTTTGTACTGTTAGTTATGTTTCTGCCACCGATAGAGGGTGCAAATGGAAATTATGATCATTTTACTAAGTTTTTTATAATTAAAATTACTTGTAACTCATAAAATCTAACTAACCTAAGTGCGAATGCGTTCGATGTTAGAACGACACTGCTTTCTTCACTTAAAATTATTTCTAAAGAAGGTTTTCAATAAAACCTATTGAGGTTAAATTTGTCGCGGAGAACCTAACGGGTTACCGGGGCTCCGGCTCGACGTGCAGGAGAAGGAACGGGGCTGACAAATGACTGCTCCCGCCTCACCAAGGCGGGAGCAGTCATTTGATGATTTTCCCCACTTAAAAAAAAATTGAGTTTAAATTTAGTGGGGTGATTGATGATGCAGCGATTCGCAGCTTGGCATGAGAAGACGACTCAGCAGTTTGGGTGTTGCAATACTCCGTAGTACCTTCGTTGCATCAAAGTAGGTGTAATGTCCTGTCCATGATTCAGCAGATCTGGGCCTCGTGACTCGGCGTTGATCACGGTGTCTAGGTACATGTTCACGTTCTATTCGTTGAGTAAGTCCAGTTGGGACCAATCAAAGCCGCTACATGTTGCATGGCAGCCGTGCCAACTGTGCAGTAAATTTAACCCACCCTTCCCCAATCCCTTAATCCTTAACAATCCTGAAATTCCAATCCCAAAAGGCCGGTAACGCACTTGTAACGCCTCTGCGTTCCAGGTGTCCATTGCGACGCCGATTGCTTACCATCAGGTGACCCGTCTGCTCGTTTACCGGCTTAACCCATAAAAAAAATCAATACTAGTTGTTCAATGTAGAAATAATATATTTGTAAAATACGAACTCAGCCAACACCATACTACTTACTATCAATTGTGAATTGTGCCATAGCTCGATAGATGGCGTTGGCTGATATAAATTTAAGATTATAGTTTCGTTCCCGGCAAAACACTAGGATGCTTGGTTTGACATAATGCCTCGCTCTGAGGTACTCCGTTTCTTTATTTCGT